ATAACACTGAATAGGGAAGACGTTCTTAAGCAGACATAAAACCTAGAAGCTATAAAGGAAATCCCTGATAAATTTAGACATCCTATAGGAATCTCAGACTCAACATGCCAAAGCTAAGTTCATCATTTCCCCAAATCTGCACCTTCTCTGCCATGCCTTATCTCAGTGAGTGGCACTAAGATCCTAGACTTGGCCTTCTCTTCCCTTACCCTCAAAGGTTTGCTTGTTCTATTTCCTAAAAACTCTTATGCCTCCATCTACTTCTCCATGTTGGCAGTTTATCTCCACTTCCATCTCCTCCACCACTGGCCTGGTTCTGGTCCACCATCATTTCTGGCCTGGACCATAGTACAGTCTGCTAATTGGTCTCTCTGCCTTCAAGTTTAACCCCTCTGGTCCTGGTTCACATCCTAGGAGATAATTCTGAAACACAGATCTGGTCCTGTCATTCTCATCCTTGAACAATTTAGTGTCTCATCATCATTCCCAGAATAATAAAATCTGAAGCTCCTTAGCTTAGCATTTGGGGCTCTTTAGGTTCCTCTATTCAGTCACTGCTGACTTGGCAGCTTCACCTCTTGCTACTTCCCTACCTGCTATTTTTCATCACTCCCCAATCACCTGCTAAATTTAATTATTTTTACTTTTTTGGACACGCCACATCTCACCTCCAGGAATCTGCTGATATTGTTCATTATGCTGAGAACACCTTCTCCCTTACCTCAACTTGCCCACCTGTCTTCCTCCCTTCCCTCATGCCCCCAAGACAGCTGCTTAACTTCCTTCTTCCAGGAGTCCTTTCCCGGTCCACAGACTGAACTGAGTGACTTTTCCTGTGCCATCTCTGCTTCTAGCACTGCTCACATTGTACCACTTACAGGTGGGCTCCTGGAGGGCATGGAAGTACAGTCTTGTACACCTCCGTGACCTGGCACACACAAGTGACAGTGTGTGTTTGCTGAATGAGTGCATGAATGCAAGAGTCTTATTGCCCCAGGTCCTGCTTCCTGTCCTCTACCTCTCAACTCTTAGCCAAGCATGGCTAGCTGGAGCATGTCGGTCTCAGGTTCTTTATGCTGGGTGTCCTAAGAAATCAGAGTCACCCTTCCATAGCAGCTCCTTCACCAAGCAGATATTTGACTACCCTTGGGCCCACCTAATGAACTTATCCTTCCTTGTTGGGTACTAGCTGCTCTACTCCTCTCTGAGGCATTTATGCAGCTGCTCCCTTCCCATTAGTGTCTTTAAGAATATCAAAGCCAAAAGAACAAGTTATAAGTTCATGACCCTCCAGGAACATAAAAACAAGTTAGCCTTCTAGAATTTGGAAAAGGCGAGGAAGATATATAGGCCTTCATTGTGGGCACAAAGCTGGGGGGCCCCCCTTCCCTGCACACATTCCCTGCCCCGTAGCAGGTTCAGGCCAGCCTTACTTAGTTCAGGAAAGGCACCAGAAGATGTGGCTGCTAATCTGGGTGGCCTAGGGATTCAAGTAGAGGATTCTGCAAGGCCACATTGTCACCAGGCTCACCCTGGTGTTGTGTTTCTGAACTTAGCCTATTCAGAGCCCCAAACCTACCTGGTGTTTCTTTCTGCCAAGTTTCTTCATTTTCTAACTATTGCTGTTTCTTAAATTTATCAGTAGATTCAATGACTCTTACCACGGCCCATAACTGCCCCACCACTGACCTGGTAGATAACTGGAGCAAGTTTCTTCCTTTGGGTTTCTCTGTCTTCATTGTGGTGGACCAGCTGCAACAAGTTAGACTCCAGAATCCCCAGGAAACAGTTAAGATCAGTAGTCAGTGAGTGGAGAGAATGACAGTTGGTTTCATCAGGTGTGCTGGCCCTCGTGTCATGCTATAGATACTATAGACGCTTTCTTACCATTGGGTCATCCAGAAAACTAGTATCTTGGCCTCTTTATCAGAGAAGAGGGATTCCAGCACAAAGTATTCTTTTTATGGGCACCATCAACTTATTTAATCTTCACAGTAAAGCTGAGGTGGCATCCATCATCATTCCTGGTTGAGGAACCTGAGATTAGAGAAGCTAAGCACTTGCTGCCGTCTCCACAGCCAGTAGGGGAAGTTAAGACAGGAAACAAAGCTCGTGCTCTTAACCACTTAGTCATTATCAGAAAACAGTAAGTGGTTCCCTGAGGTTGGAATACAGGGGTTAGGAGGAGAGTGTAACAGGTGAAACCAGAGAAAGCAGGGATCAGTTTTGTAGGGCCTTTTAGTCATATTAAAGAGTGTAGAGTTTAAACTGAGGGCAAGAGAAGCCACTGAAGGGATTTAAAGAGGGAAAGACATGATCAGATTTGTGTCAGACCACTTTGGCTACAGGAGAATGAATTAGAGAAAGACAAGTCATCCAGCCAAGGGATGATGGAGTCTGGACTTGGGGGTGGGGTGGGGTGGCTGCTGGAGTGAAGTAGGTAATTAGAGAGTAAGAAGGTGAAGTTGGCAGGAATGCATAACTTATGAGATTTGAAGGAGGAGCACTGTGCCAAGCTCGGCTCCCACGTTTCTTGTTTGGGTATTTGGGATGCCATTCACTGGGATGGAGAGCACGGTTAGGAAGAAGTTGCGGGGAGAAATTTAGTTCGGTATTGGACTACTGAGTTTGTAAGTAACTCTGGAGATGTTCAGTAGGCATATGGACATGTAGTGTGGAGCTCAAGGGAGGCCGTGGTCTTTGTCACTTGCTGAAGCTAATGATTTGGATGAAGTCATTCTGTGTGTGGAGCTGGGAGATCAAGGACAGACTGGGGCACAGGGCCAGGCACAAGGCCAGGCACAGGTTGGGAAGTCAGTGTTTGCCCATTGGATGAACGGGGGCCTGGGGGGAGGGGCTGGGCATATTCACTTGGGCAAGGGGAGGCAGACTGAGTGATTTGTCCAGCAGTGAGGGAGGAGCCAGATGAAGTCAATAGAAAACTAATTTTCTTTTCTGCTGGAAGAAATGAGGTGTGTGGCCGCTGGGTAATTGCAGATAACGAGGGGACTTATTCTTAATATGCACAGTGGCCAGGGTCCCCAGAGTACAAGAGACAGGAAGGATTGGAGGTGCCCTGACAGGGCCAGACTTCTTAGGGAAGACTGTCACCCCATCATAGCCCCTACCCCCTCCCAGACCCTTCCTTTCATCTTACCCGTGCCCCCTCCTGCATAGCTCTTCCTGTCCCATTCCCCTTCCTGTCCCATTCCCCTTCCTGTCAGCTGTCTAGCTCCCCTTGTCAGCCCTCCTCCACCCTCTACCCCCACAGCACAGGCATACGCACTAAGGGAGACAAATGACGGGGTCTCAGCTGAGCGGGGTGCGTGTCCGGCCCATAAACCACAGGGATGGGTCACGTCTGGAGTTGCCATGGCCGCCACTACCCACCCATCTGTCTTCCCACTGTTCTGCCTCAGACCAGCCCTCGTAGCTTCTGAATCCCTAGGGGAGTGAGGTGTCCCTGTGTCTGAGCCCTGGGTCACCTCTCCATGCCCACATCCACCATAAGGTACAACCATGCTGATGCTGAGCTCTGCAAAACAGGACTTTGCGCGGCTTGTCCTTGGCCTCAACCAGAAACCTTGCTGGCCCTAAGCAGGGCCTGCAGGACTGGTGTCTGGCTAGTGACATGGGCCCTGGGCTGATCAGACTCTTCCTGCCTTGCTCAGCCCTTTTAGCTACGGTGAGTCCCCTTTCCTAGCCTAAGGTCCAAGGATAGGTGGAGCTAGAGCTCAGTGAAAGGGGTTGGTCTTTGACAGATGTAGAGGCTTTCTGACCCCACCTTGACCTTACCACACACACACACCCCCACACACACCTGATTATGACATTGATGTACAATATTTCTACAATCACTGCATCGATCCCAGGAGGATCGGTGTTGTCTGAGGCCCTGGTTATGGCTCTGGAGTATCTATGGGTGGTGGGAAAGGGGTAAGGCAGGTGAGGGGATGAGGAGTTGGTGGCTGCTCTGGACAGAGGAATAGAAAACCTAGGCATTTGGGCTGTTTTTGTCCCAGGCTTACTGTAGTGGTAAAAGCTCCAGGACAGAGGCACTTCTTGCTGATGGTAGTGGAACCACCTAGCCCATGTCTTGCTATTGAGGCCCAAGTGCCTGTTCTTGCAGCCACTGGGGTCCTGAGATGGTTTTGAACATGGAGTTTTTCACAAGAACCACTGTTGGAGAAACTACATGTGAAAGAGTGTGCCAAGCCCAGATGTATTTAACCTGAGGTATTGAGGCAAAAGGACCAACAAAGGTGTCCAGCATGAGCATTGAGCTTACTGGGTTAGGACAGAGGCAGGGCTGGGGCAGATGTACACAGATGTGTCTGGTGGAGGGCTGACAGCCCGGGCTGTAGAGGGCAGCTGGTGCCCAGACAAGTTGCTATTTGAGTACTTGTGCCTAGTGCATGGGGCAGATGTGCTTCCCAGAACCCTGGCCCAGATGTGCCAAGTCTTGTGCCTTGTCACCAGTGATTATGGCCTTGGCCACATCTCCCACACACACACAAGTGCCGCCAAAGTCACCCTGGCCGTGGGCGTGATGAATGGCCACACAGTAATGAAATGGAGACATCAAGGCGGGTGGCGGGAAGACGGAGTGTGGCGGACGGGCCGTCCCTATGCGGCGGCAACAAGAAGGATCGCCCAGCGGCCGGGGGCCGTCAAGGGAGAAATTACACGTTTACTCTGCCTTTTTCTTACTGCGACGGCGCCCATACATCACCGCTGGGGCCGGGGAGGGACACACTGGCCAATTTCCAGCATGAATTATGGGACTTGAGAAGCATTGAGACCAGGCTTCCTGCTGGCCTAGCATCACCTAGCCCAACCCGACACTGGAGGTGCTACCACCAGGGGACGCAATCCCCTCTCTTGAGCCTGTGGCCCCAGAATCTGACCCTACCTCCTACCCCCTACCCTTATATAGCACCTGTGGGCATGGTGGGGAAGAATGGGGGGCCCATCTAAATGCCTTCTCTTCCTCTTTTTAGACGACTGCAAGAACATTGCCAACATCATGAAGACACTTGCCTATCGAGGCTTCATCTTCAAGCAGACATCTAAGCCATTCTGATTGGCCGAGGACGGGATGGGGCAGGACAGGGTAGCTGCTTGGCCCAGCCCAGAACCCTCCTCTCCGTCATGGAGGGGAAAAGGGAGAGTGGCACAGCTCTACATCCAGAGTGTCCCCCAGCTGCCCTATGGGCTTGTGTCCCGGGCAAGGGCTTGGCCACTTGGCCCCTCTGGAGCAGACACTTTGTGCCCCCCCACCCCCACCCCTCAACCTCAGCCCAGTATTAGCCCCTCCCATTGTGGACCTGGGCTAGGGGGACCCAGGCACTCACTGCCTCTTCCCCAGTACACAGGCTTCTGCTGGGGCCACCAAGCCCCCCTGTGCCCCCTCCCATCCATAGTGCATGGTGTGTGGTGCCCCCAGGGCTCCAGGACAGATCAGGCCCCACCCTGTGTCTACCCCTATCCCCGCTGTGAATGTGCCACTGAATAAAGTCGGGGAAATGAGGCCCTGGGTGTGTGTGCAAAGCCATTTTGTGTGTACAAGGCTATTGCTGTGCCCAGAGCTATCAGAATGTGAATGGGAGGGCAGTCAGGGCAGGCTCCAGGCTGCCCCTATGCACAAGGCCATCAGTATGTAACTAACTAACAATCACTGGAGCAACTGTGACACACTCAAATATGTACAAGGCTGTGGGAGTGTGGGGAATGAGCAGAAGGCAACATAGGACACTGCTGGTGTCTGAGGCCACTGCTGTGTGCGTGAAGCCATCAGTATCTAGGCAAAATGGGCACTGGGAGGATTCACACCTTCCACAATTGTGAGAGACCCAAGTTTGATTCCTAGCCAACGTGCCTTGTGCATAGCCACCTCCCGTCTGTCAGTGGTGGCGTGGGTATTGCTATGATGCTGAACAGGTTTCAGTGAAGCTTCCATACTAAGAAGAAAGGCCTGGCAATGTGCTTCTGAAAATCTGCAAATAAAACCCCTATGGATCACAGTGGTCGATCCTGTTGTGCATGGGACCACCATGAGTCAGGGCCGACTTGATGGCAGCAAACAACTAAAAGAGCTGGTAAGAGTCAGTGCAGGCAAACCTTGAATGCCATCCCTGAAGCGCAGGTGTGGTGACCCCCCTACTGGCCCACCCCTCCCAGCCAGGGGCACCTGAAGTGGTAGAAAGGAAAAGGAAGCAGCCTGGTACAATGCAGCAGCTCTATTTACACAGCAGCAGCACCCACACCCTGTATGGCCTCTTAAGGCTTCTTGGCTTTCTTCACAGAAGATGAACTGGAGGCTGATTCCCGTCGTTTTCTCTGAGGAGACACAGAAGGTGCTGAGGTCAGTGATCCCAAGGCCTGATACAGGCCTGGTGCCTGTGTTTCACATTCTCAGGAAAGGTGATGCCCACTGGTCAGCCCACTCTGACCCTCAGTCTCAGAACCCAAGAGAGAACGATTCCTGTTGCAGGCACTAGAGGGGACAGAGCTTACGCAGCGTGCATGCTCACAGGCAGGCCTATGTACGTGCTCCCGGCCTGTCCAGATGCTTACCGAATTGGGTGTTAGGGGTGCGCCCACCACATCAATGATTGTGTCTTTGGTGGGATCAGGGCCAGGACCGGGCTCAGGCACTGATGACTCAGCAGAGGCTTGAGCTGGGCCTGATGCTGGCGTGGCAGGACCCCCCAGTACGCCAGCCCGGGCCAGTGCCTCGTGACGGTGTCGTAGCATCTGTAGCTCATACTCGCAGTTGGCACAGGCCTGCTTGAGCTCGTAGAGTAGCACCAGGTCACTCCGCAGCTCATTGAACATGTGCACCAGCTCCTCTGTGGGTGTTGGGCTCAGCTCTGCAGGTGGGTGGGCGGGCAGCAATGGGCAGAGGTAGGGTATGGCAGAAGACCAGCAACATGATCTGCCCTCCCCTTGCCCAGTGTTTAGCCATGGCCTCAAGTGAGTATGTCCTACGGGGCCCAGCTCCATACTCACCCACACCAAGCTCCAGCAGCATCTGCTCCAGGGCCTTGATCTTCTTCTGTCCCACAGAACTTGGAAGCTTCATCTGCAATGACCCAGGCAGCTAAGCTCTCTCCCTGCCTCCCTGCACTGTAAGAGCCTTAGGATGAAGGGGGCTGAAGACACGGGGGTTGTGGGAAAAGAGAAGGTAACCCCTAAAGGCAGCTATGAGCCAGACAATGAAATAGCCAAGGACTGGACTATAGTGAAAGATGTGACCTCAGTCTGGCCACCTCCCCTTGAGATCCTGTTGAGGCCAACTCTACCTACAGTACATGGTACAACCTCTCCTACTTTTCCAGCCTCACAAGTCCAGCATCCCACCATCCAGAGCCCAGGACCCAAACCTGTCAAAGAAGGTGACTCAGGTACCCGTTGGCTGTCAAAGAAGGTGACTCACGTACCCGTTGGCTGCGAAGAGTGACACCTGCAGACTTGAAGTCTGGAAACTTGATGCCTGCAGTCTCAGGAACAGCCTGGGGGCAAAGGAGTTACAGAGACCAGTGTTCACAAGGAGCTGGCCCACTGTTAGTCCCACCACCCTGCTAGCTCTGGGTGCTCTCAGAGCCCTCCACTAGGGGCCTGAGTATCAGAGTGGGGTGTCCACCCTCTCCCCTGGGCTGCCTTAGTCTCGCACCGGCTTCTCAGCCTCCTTTTTCTGGGGTAGCTTCTTTTTGGGGGCTTTGCGCTCTGTGCGTCGCTGCTCTGCAGTGGTGTCTGCTGCTGTTATCAGCTTCTGCAGGTCCTGACTCCGTTTCTCCCGCTCCTTCTTGCGGGCCTCAATCTTACGCAGCTCCTGTAGCAGGTACTCCTCCTCTGCCACCTGGGAAAGTGAGAGATGCTGAGAAGTAGGGGCAGTGCACAGGGAGGTGAAGGGCTGTAGAGAGCAGGGGGATGGCCAGTGAGAGGCAGGAGTAGAGTGAGGGTAAGAGAACAGAGGATGGACGCAATGAATGAAGGGTCTCAGCCATGGAGGAGACATACGTAGGGATCGGGCTGACCTGCTCTGGGGTCCGGTTATAGAGCCGCTCCAGCTGCTCCTTCCGCCGTCGCTCATGCCCAGCATCAAATACTGGTATCTTAAGGTCTGTGCCTGGCACAGCCCGCACGTTGGCAAGCTTGGCACAGATGTGGTAGTACCTCTCCTTTAGGTCCTCCACAGAACGTTTCTGAGAATAAAGATGTAAGCCACAGGTGGGGATGGGATGAACATGCAGGGGCACATGAAAGGGATGATATGAAAGTAGTAGGGCTTCCAGGCCTGGGGGTTAGGCACACATGCTAATACATGACATCAGCTCACCTTGAACTGCTGGTGGTCATAGCGGTCATGGATAACTACAAAACGCAGGTCAAAGCGGCGGCTGAGGTCAAAGAGGTGGTCAGTCTCTGCCTTAGTCCAGGCATCATCGTGGAGATACAGCTGGTACTCTTGCTCTGAATACACTGGCACCTGCACAGTCTTCAGGCACATAAGGGACATAGTGGGGACATATATCATGTCATGTCCAGCAGGCTCCAGCCCCTTCAACCATAGTCCCTCTGTTTATAGCCAATCCCTGAGCTTGTCAGAAGCAAACCACCTGCCTGTACCCCTACATGGGGGTGTGGCAGTAATCTGAGAGAGAAGACTGCTTAACTGGAGGTCCTGGCAGCTTTGGGACTGTGGCCTGCCTATGAATTCATTCCAAGAGCAACTTCAAGATCCCTGCAGCTCTAGAACCTTGATAACAGGGCATATGCTCCTACTCCCATGGGTAAGGTAAGGGGTCCAAATGTAAGTGCTTTTGTGGGACCCCAAAGGTCAACTCTGGAGTAGACCAGATAGCTAAATACCTGGAGATAACTGGATGAAAGGCCAAGAATCCTAAAGCAATTCAACTCTTGTCTGAAGTACTACCACCACCCAGTGGTGATCATGAGACTTACAGCTCTTCCTGAGCTAGCCAGAGTCACACTTCTACAGAAATGGGGCCTGACTCCTAGTCCCAACACAAGTTCGGTTGCCCATGTCACTTCCTGCCCTTCCCCACCCTCCCATGCTCCAAACCTCCCTCAGAGAAAAACACATCACCATTAGCTATGGTTGTCAGAGACCCAAGGAAGGAATCAAAGCTAGACTGGACCAGAAGCTCTTCTACAAGACCACAGTTGATTCTGAACTGGTCTCAAGACCTGGTTTCCAACAGCTTCTTAGACATCTTGGAGGGCCACACACACATCAAATGTAACCCATTCAATACTGAATTCATCAACCTCCCTCAAATGTCCATCTCCTCCAGTCTAGATCTCAGCATCACCATCACCCACCCAGCTGCCCAAGCTAAGAACCAGGGAGGCATCTTTAAGTCCTACCTTGACCTCTGGCCCCTTCCCTTCACAAAATTTGTGGCTTTAGCTCTGAAATACCTATCTCCAGTGCCACATCCCAGACCAGACCACACCATCCCTTGTAGGAGCAGAGAAACAGCTTCCCCACTGGACTCTCTCCCACCACCCAATCCTCCTCCAATCAAAGCTCTGTCTGTAGCCATGATCTGCTCTCTATGAACAATACTACTTAAAGCACAATCTGCAGACGAGTGCTGTTTGCAAAACTGTTGTTACTGGTCTGTGGTAAAAATGGAAACTAAGACTGGGCATTTAGAAACTTTTATAACATTTTACAGTAATTGTGTTGCTCAATCTATTAAGAATGAAACGTGGACCTGTATTTTCTATCTGTGTGGTTTGAGTGTATCAGTGTGTGATAGGTTGGAAATTAGAAAAGAAAAATCTCCTTCACCACAAATAATTTGAGCAACACTGGTCTAGAATATATATCTGATCGTGTCAGGCAACCAACCCTTACTAAACCCCTTAAAGGCTCCCTACTCCCCCAAGATAAAGTGCCTTCTAGATAATCCACCAACTTCTCACAGGTAAGAACTGTCGGTTCATTTCCTGCCCTCAGGGCTCAGCACAAGGCCAGGCACACTATAGGCCTTAATGAATGTTTACTGAACCAATCAATGAACAAATAAATGAATGACTTGGACTCTCTGAAGCCCCTCATGGACTCTAAGTTCCAGCCAAATAACTAACAGTTTCTGCAACTTAACAGGCTCCCCGCTCAGCCTCTGTGCTTGCCTGAAATGCCTCCCATATTCCTTCTACAAAGATAACTCATCCTTTCGGTCTCATTCAGGGATCATTTCTTCTGAGAAGTCTCCTTGATTTCCCCAGCTTGGTAAAGTATCCCACCTATGCACTCTAATTCTATTTAATTCAAAATACTGAGGAACTGTGTAGCCAGTCCTTTTCTCACAGTCAAGCAAGAAGACAATCATTTGTTCATTCATTCAGCAAATATTTATTGTGGGCTTGCTAGACCTATGCTAGGGATGCCATGCTGCATAGGACAGAAAGGGTCCTTACTTTTTCAGTGGTCACAGTCCAGCCAATAAAAATAATTTTAGCAGTGTGGCAAGTCTGATGACAGAGGTATGCCTGGGGTATAATGAGTAACACCTAATC